GGGGGGGGGTTGGTGTCTTTAGTACCTTTGGGGTAGATCTGTGCGTTGTACCAGGAGTGCTTAGTGCCGTATACTCCTGTCTTCTAACTGCCCCATTCTTCCTCTTGATGCAGACCTCAAGCTCTGCTTTCATTGTCGAAGATCTCTGAACAGATCGGTACTGTGTCCAGCTGAATTCCTTGCTCCTCAGCTGGTTTGGGCTCGTGAGTAGGAGGACAGAGCAAGTCCGTAGCTCTGTTCTTGCTCGCTTTTAGGGGTGGATGGAAGAGGCATCGATCCTTGCACAAACCTGTTCCGTTTGCTGCTTAGACGTGGGTATGTGACATCCTCACAAATGAAGGAGAGGAACAATCGTGGCCTTGTTAGAGTCCCCTGTCCGTTTCGGTGGGGCTGGCTGCAGCGCAGCTGCAGGCACGTAAGAGCAGCGCTCGGGACCGGGGCAGGACAGCGAGCTGTCTGTTTGCCTTGGCTTCCGCTCCTCTGGTTAAAAGGAATATTGGCCGTACCGCCAGAGCAGCGAGGGGTTTCAGAGGTCTCTCTGGGGAAAGGTTTGCAGGTGCTGTGTTAGCAGCTGTTGTTTGGGTTGAGTGTTTCACGTTGGAAAGGAAATACTGTTTGCTGGCTGCTGAAAGCTGTCGCTGCAGGGGAGGCAATAAGCTTTGGCCCTCTGGGAGATACTGTCCATGTTGCAGGGAAGCGGGAGGAGGGGGCGTTCTCGGGCTGGGTGAGCCTCCGAAACGTGCCCTCTCTTCTCGAGAGTCTGTCACTTCGGTGCAGCACCTCGCGCTGGTGTGTGGCAGCCCTTTCTGGTGCTGTCGGTACCGCTGGCTGCTGGGGGTAGGTACAGCTTTTTGAAAAGCGACAGCCTTCTGGCTGGGACTCGATGGTAGCTTTCATCTCAACACCCGGTGGTATTTCAGCACTTAACGCGGCACGGATTGCTGCCCAGGCCTGGCCAGGCTTGAGCTGTGTCTGGATTTGTGAGCCAGGCGGGAGTCAGAAAGTCAGAAAGTCACCTTGCCCATCTCGCCGTGGTGCGTGCCGGGTGTACCGAAACTGTCCCTGCTGCCTAGAAACTTCTAGGGGTGGGGTTCGTCCTGTCCCCATCCCTCCCCTGCGCCTGTTTTATCAAGTAGTGTCTTTAATTATGGAGGTATAATCTATATAGTAGTACATATGATATATATAACTGTATGGATTTTTCCCAATACCAACCTAAGCCTTGTTTTTACTTCTGTCCTCTCTAGACAAAAGTTTAAGATGAGGAACCATTTGTCAGAGAACACGATAGCTGTTGTATTCATCCAGTGTTTTGAGAGAAAGCAGACCCACTTGTCACAGCCCTTCAGTGTGGTGGTGTTCTGCAAACCTCCTGTTCTCAGTGCGGTCTTGGGGACTCTATCCAGTCTTTTTTTTTTCTTTCTTTCCTTTTTAATGTGTTACTCCAAGATTGTATATAGTACTTTAGCTGAGGCTTGCTAGTACAGCGTCATGTCATTGCCTTGGGCTGCTTATGATGTACTGTAACCTTTAAATTCAATTCTCTGCAGTCACCCCCTGGTAACTGATGAATTTCCTAGCATATCCTAGTCTGCAGCCTATTTACATTTAATCTCTACTAAGTTACCCAACTTAATGGAGTTATTTAATAGCATCAGTGTTGTGGACGGGGGATTTTTTTGCCACTCCATTCAATGTCCTTTCGTTCACAGGAATTTTCAGAGAACAGTTAATCGTGGAAGAATTAGGGTAAGGGAGATTCGGGTAATTTACTCGCTGCAAAACAAGGTCATGTTCTTCCTGACGGGTACTTTTCAGAGCAGACCAGACCGACCTCCAGCGGTGAACCTCCCACGTTCACCCTTCCGTGAACTGCAAACCAGCTTTCTCCCGGTTGCAGCTGCAGCTCATTGCCCTTTGTTTGCTTACAGGAGTTTCACAAAAAGGTTGTGAGCGATCCTGAAACTTAATACACATCACT